TGGCCTTGAGCTCACTTTTTAGCCCAGGCTGGTCTCGAACTCTCAAGGATCCTCTTGCCTCAGCCTCGGAAGTGCTGGGATTACAGGCCTGCGCCACCATGCCCGGCGGTTTTTGATTTTTTAAGATATCATTTTGCTGTGTAGTTCAGGCTGACCTTGAACTCAATACATAGCTCAAGCTAACCTAGAACTTGAAACACTCCTCCTGCCTCAGCCTCCTGAGTGTGGGGATCACAGGTGTGCGCCCACCACAGATCAGACTTTTGTCCAGGCTGACAGGAACCCTGGGAGGGTGGGTAAGAGTGGAGGGGACTCTTCGTTTGTCCCAGAGCCAGTGAGAGGACGGTCACAGAGCAGGGAGGCATAGCAGGAGCTGTGGGTCACACTGACCTGCGATCAAGTTCAGCTGTTCTCTGTATGACTTTGACCAGCCTGGTCCTCCCCCAGGGGACTCAGGATGGGAAAGTGACTTGCCTGGGGTGGCCGCCCAGCCAGGCAGAGGCAGAGCTGGGATGGGAATGTGGTGCCCCTGGTGCCATCCTGGCCTCTGGGCCACAGATGGCAAAGATGCCCAAAGGCCTGACGCCCAACTGTCCCCAGACAGCCTGGGTGCATGGCAAGGAGGAGGAGGGGTAGAGGTCCCTGAAGTAACCTGGCTGTACACACATTCTCACACACACACACACACTCACACACATACACTCACACTCAGGAGGGGAGGGAAGCAGGTTTAATTAGGTCACCTCAAGCTGCAAGCGCAACTTTGGCACTGATGTATTTTAAAGAGCTTGGGGGAGGCTGGAGGTGGGGAGAGCCGGCCCAGGCCACTCTCTCCGGTCATCCTGAGGTTGTTCCTTGTCACCCTCCCAGGGTCCGCTGCAGACAAACCACCTTGTCCAGCAAGCCCGTCACCCCCCATTTTCAGCCTTTCTATTTGAAGCCCCTGCACCCCTCCTCCCGTTGCCTCCCACGATGGGGGCTTGGGGGGGGACGTTTTATTGGGGAGTTGTTTTCAAGCTCTGCGGAGCTGGCAAGTGACTCAGCCAAGGTCATTGTCTGAGTCAGTGCAGCGCCAGAAATAGAACCCCGAGTCCCGGCTCCCTGGTTTTTCCACCCTTGTGTTTCCTTCTCTATGAGCTGCTTGTGGGGAGCGCGGTCCCCTCCTTGCCTCCTGCCCCACCCCAACTCCAGACATTTCCAGGGGGCAAAAGGGCCACCTCCAACCAGCTCCATGACCTCAGCAAGCCTTTTCACCCTTCTGAGCCTCAGTTTACTCTTCTGTAGAATGGGTATGCTAATACTAATCATTGCCTAGGAACTTTTGTTTGTTGTTTTGGTTTTTTTGAGACAGGGTCTTGCTCTGTAGTTCAAGCTGGTGTTGAACCAGGCTGGCCTCAAACTCCTGAAGATCTTTCTGCCTCAGCCTCCCAAGTGCTGAGATCACAGGCATGAGCCACCATGCTGGGCATAAATGTTCTTTTATTGATTCATAGGACACAGGTTGGAAGATGTCACCGTGGGATGTGCCCGCATATGTGTTTCTGACAACCCCAGAAAAAAGCTGGGTTGAGGCATGGGGAGCAGAGATGACTTACGCAGTTGAGATAAGGAGGGGCTCAGAGGGGGCCAGCGCTTGCCCCGGTCACACAGCACTGAGCGGCTGAGCTGCTTTGCCTTCCCTGATCTACCCAGGTGGAGAAGGGTTCTCATGGCCAAGAGCAGGGCGTGACAGCCATTTGTACCCCATTCTTTTGAGGGGGCTGATTACTGGAGCAGAGCCCCAGCTAGCTGTGGTCACCTGTTGCCAGGGCTCAGTCACATCCTGAGTGCTGTGGCCCTGGGACATTTTGTCCGACCTTGGAGTATCTCCAGACAGCCCTGACCTTTTGTGGAGGGGGAACAGGGTCTCGCTATGTTGTGCAGGCTGGCCTTGAACTCACCGTGTAGTCCAGGCTGGCCTCAAATTCACAACGATCCTCCTGCCTCAGCCTCCCAAGTGCTGGGATTACAGGCATGCGCCACCACGCCTGGCTCTAGCCTCATCTTCACTCACGGGAGCAGAACTGACCTTCACAGCTTTGTCTGATGGTCGCCTGGCTCTGTCCCTTACCTGTGGTGTGACCTTGAGCCGGTCGCTTAACCTCTCTGTTCATTTGTAAAACAGGAACAAGTATAACTTCAACCTTTCAGGCCAAGCTGGAGGTTACAGCACGGAAACACACCTCTGTACAGACTTCCATAGTGCATAGAGTCCAGAGCCCCGACCGGAGAGGCCTCATTTCCATTGCTCTTCCCAGCAGCCACTCTCTGGAGAGAGGCTCTGGCCTGGGTGCTCTGCCTGCGCCCATGTCTCCTTCTCCCTGGTCTCCCTGGCCACTGGGTGTCATGCAGGCCCCAGACAGGGACGACCCTGCCCAAGGTCACACAGCAAGTCACTGGTGATGCAGGGCCAGGCACAGGCCTCCCACCTAGAGTTGCTGGTCCTGGTGAAATCTTGGCTCGGATACAACAGCCCTGTCTGGACCTCAGTCTCCTCATCTGCAAAATGGTACAATAGTAACAGCAGCCTGAAAGAGCTGCTGGGGGAATTAAGTAAAAGGGGAACTGGAGCCAGGCATGATGGTGTGGGCCTGTCATCCCAGCACCCTGGGAGGCTGAGGCAGGAGGATGTAAAGTTCCAGCCCAGCCTGGGAAACTTAGCAACTTACCAAGAACCTACCTCCAAGTAAAAATGAAAAAAGGCTGGGGATGTAGCTCAGTGGGAAAGCCCTGGCTTGAATACCCAGGACAGAAGGAAGGAAGGAAGGAAGGAAGGAAGGAAGGAAGGAAGAAGGAAGGAAGGAAAGAAGGAAAAAGAGAAGACAAGAGAAGAGAAAAGAAAAGAAAAGGAAAGGAAAGGAAAAGAAAAGAAAAAAGAAAAAGACCAAGCACCAAAGCCCCACTGTGACCCAGCTGGGGAAGCTCCTGGTTTCGGCCCCCCCGCAGCCCTGGAGTGTCCCTGCCTGGCAGTGGCAGGTGTCTTCTCTGGGAAGCAGGCCGTCCTGCACCCCCACAGTGTCCCCAGCCTGCCCTGCTCTAGGCAGTGACCGGGCCGGGAGGTTGAAGGGGAGGGGCGGGGCTGCGTGGTTACCAGGGGGACGCAGGCCCTGAGCCGGGCTGCTCTGCCACCCAGGTGACTGCGCTTCTGCTCCCGGCCACAAGCTAAGCAGCCGGTGGGCCGTGCCCTGTAGAGTCAGGCTGAAGGAAGGACGGGGTCACAGGGTCACAGGGGCTCGTCCCCAGAGAAGGCTGGGAGCGCCCCAGGTCAGGGAGGTCAGTGGGCAGCTCCCACGAGCAGGCTCTGCGCCTCCCGCCTCAGCCTCCCCTCCTGCCGTAAAAGGGGAGAGAAGTACACACAGTGTACTCCACAGTGAGTGCTGGGATTACACGTGGGGAAGAGGGGACCCAGTCTGCCTGCCTAAGACTCACCCGCACTGGCCCCTGCCTTTCCCTTCAAGTTTCCTTTTTTCCCTCCCTTCTTTCCTCCCTCCCTCCCCCTCCTTTCCTCTTTCATTCTTCCTTTGCAACAGGGTCTCTGCATAGTCCAGGCTGGCCTCCGTCTCTCTCTCTGCAGTCTTCCTGCCTCAGCCTACTGGGCACTGGGATTATAGGCATTCACCACCAGAGCTTATTACTATTGTTATTCAGCAGTACTAAGGATTGAACCCAGAGCCTTTGCCCTGTACAACCCTAGCCTTTTTATTTATTTGGTTAGTTAGGTTTTTGTTTTGAGACAGCGTCTAGCTATGTAGCCCAGGCTGGCCTCACACTTCCAACAATCCTCCTGCTTCAGCCTCCTGCGTGCTGAGATTTCAGGCCTGCACCATCACATTTGGCTTTTACTTTTTATTTTGAGGCAGGATCTTGCTAAATTGCTAAATCGCCCAGGCTGGGCTGGAACTTTAGATCCTCCTACCTCAGCCTCTCCAGTGAGTGCTGGGATTACACGTGTGTGCCACCATGCCTTTCTGTTTGCATTTATCTGAAGCTTCTGTTTTCTTTTTTTTTTTTTTTTTTTCTCCGGTACCGGGAACCGAACTCACGACCTTGTGCTTGCCAGGCAGGCGCTTTTGCCGCTGAGCTAAATCCCCAGCCCCTGAAGCTTCTGTTTTCTTAGCGTGGCTGGGGATATAGCTCAGTGGTAGAGTGCTTGTGCCTGTCAGACCCTGGGTTTAATGCCTAGTATAAAAAGGAAGGAAGGAGGGAAGCAATGAAAGAAGGAAAGGAAGGAAGGAAGGAGGGAAGGAAGGAAGTGGGCATGATGGTCCCAGCACTTGGGAGGCTGAGGCAGGAGGATCTCTGAACAGAGGCCAGGGGCCCTACTGTGTCAATGGAGATGAGACAAGCGACTCCTGGCCTGGCTGCAGGGGTTTTCAGGCTGCTTGCAGTCTGGACTCCTACAGAGCCTTGAACACTTCCCTGGAAACCCTGGATTTGTGTATGTTTGGTTTGGGGCACAAATAGAGACCAGAAATAGGAATATAGTTCAAGGCTCACCTCTGCTGTGCAGGATGCGGGGGCGGGGGGGGAACGCTTGAGTCTCCTCAAAGTCCAGGCCTGTGTGAGGGAGACACAGGGTTTCCAGCCCCATTGCACAGATGAAGAAACTGAGGCCAGGGAAAGGTCAGAGCAGATGTTCTTTCGGTCTCTCCCAGCCTCACAGGCTGCTCTTCCCTTGCCAAGGCTTGGAGGCAGATTTCTTGGATTCCAAGACTTCCCAACCCGAGGAGGAGTGGTGGGGCCCCGTGCAGGGGAGTTACCGGCTTTTTCTAGGTGGGGGAAAGTACGGGTGGTTTTCTCAAGGTCACTTAGGTGCCAGGCTGTGGACTTGGGGGCTTCTCTTGATCGGCATTGATCACAGCAGCGCGCAGTCTTACCCTGCAGTCTTACCGCGGTGACCCTCTTGGAATTCCCTGCTGGATGCATTTGGGCCCAAAACGTTTGTCCCAATAGCCACTGTTTGCTACTCAACATACAAGCTAGAATTTGTCAGTGGTGGCACACGCCTATAATCCCGGCACTCAGGAGGAGGCTGAGGCAGGAGGATCTCTTCACGTTTGAGGCCACCCTGAACTACATAACCAGACCTTGTCTCCAAAAACAAAACAAAACTAAAGAATTTGCCCATGTCAGTTGCCTAGTGGCTTGCTACCTTTTCCAGCCAAAACAGCGTGTTTGGTACTTGTTATTTTTGGTACTGGTTGCACCTCCTGGAACCAAATAAGGCCGAGTGTGGAGGCCCCGCTGTGTCGGTCAGTGCCGCAGGCCCCGGGTCACTGAGTCCCCGGCACCCCGGCCAGCTATTCCCAGCCTCGTGTTTGGAATCAGGCTCTCACGCTCTCGGTGAGCACTGCGTCCCCAGGTTACACCCGGAGCTCTGCAGCCTCATTTTGACAGGCAGAAACTGGGCTGAGGAAAATAGCCCGTGTCCCCAGAGCCCGGCCTTGGGTCTGTTCCCAGCGAGCAGAAAGGGCCGTCGCGCTCAGCACGAGAGCCACACTGCGCCCGTGACCTGTCCTGTGCGGGTCGTGAGCTGTCTCGGGGCGGGCGGACAGGCTGACGCCGCACAGCCGGGAGGGGGGGAGTCGGGATCCAAACGCAGGTCGTGGAGCGGTGTCCGGTGTTCCGCGCTGTCCCCAGGCTGGACTTACCTGTCCTCTCTCTGCCCCCTGCAGACGGAGCCCGTGGCTGGTGAGGCTGCCGAGCAGGGCCAGGCCGGGCCCTGCCCGCAAGGACGCCAGAGCCCTTCACCGGCCCCGGGGCCCCAGAACCCGCCAGGCTCGCCCGCTGGCCCCGCCATGACATCGGAGCCCACGTCGCCCCCAGTGGTGCCCCCGCTCCACTCGCCCAAGTCCCCTGTCTGGCCCACCTTCCCCTTCCACAGGGAGGGCAGCAGGGTGTGGGAGCGGGGCGGGGCACCACGGGACCTGCCCAGCCCGCTGCCCACCAAGCGCACCCGGACGTACTCAGCGTGAGTGCCTGACCCTCACCTGGACTCCATGACTGTCCCTGTCCTCCTGCCCCCACTGTCCTCATGAGGGTGGGGAGTTGGGTGTGGGCACCTCCAGTAACTGCAGTATTAGTTCAGCCCACAAAAAACGTTCTGTGCTAAAGCTGGGCGTGGTGGCGTACACCTGTAATCCCAGCACTCGGGAGGCTGAGGCAGGAGGATCACCCTGAGTTTGAGGTCAGCCTGGGCTACATAGTGAGCTCAAGGTCAGCCTGAACTGCGTAGCGAGACTCTGTCTCAAAAAACACAACAAAACAAAATAAGAAAGGGAGAAACAAATCTCATAAGAGGGATCTGTTCAAATCCAAATAACCTCAGGAGCAGAGGGTGGTGTGTGGAGAGGGGTCCTGGGGAGGAGCCAGGAGACCCCGTGCTGTGCCCCGGGAGGGACGGCTCCCCTGGGCCTGGGTCTGGACGTCGGCAGGGTAGGGTGACCTGCGCGCCGGGTGACATAGTGCGCGCTGGCCAGGGCTGTTCTCCTCGGGCCCTGGCGGGCTCTTGGGAGCGGGCCGGGCTGGGGAGGGCAGGGTCTGGGGGCTCCAAGGCCACAGCTGTGCTCCCTCCACCCAGGACGGCCCGAGCCTCGGCCGGCCCGGTGTTCAAGGGCGTCTGCAAGCAGTTCTCCCGCTCCCAGGGCCACGGCTTCATCACCCCGGAGAACGGGTCGGAGGACATCTTCGTGCATGTGTCTGAGTGAGTCCCCTCCTCCCCCTGCTCTCAGCTGATTGTGTCAGGGTCAGCCGCCTGACACCCCACTGGGCTGGACAGGGGCCCCCACCCCCACAGCGCCTTGACACAGCCTCCCCCCGTCTGTGACCTGTCCCTGCCTCTGCCTCCCCTCTGGGAGGGCCACAGTGCAGGGAGGGGCAGGGCGGATGCGGTGCCCTTTCTGCACCTGGGCTGGGGGTGGGGCACAGGTGGGCTTGTCCCCATCTAGCCCTAAATGGGGGGACAGGGGAAGTCCCTGGACTCTCCAGAGCCTCAGGTACCTCTCCAACCTTTCATATCTCCATTCCCAAAGGATACAGAGCGGAAGACGTTCCTCAGTCCCATTTTTATCTTTGTTTTTGTTGCTGTTTGGTTTTTGGATTTGTGTGTGTGTGTGTGTGTGTGTGTGTGTGTGTGTGTGTGTGTGTCTCGATGTGTAATTCAGACTGACCTTGAACTCACTAGGCTGGCCTCAAACTCATGGCGATCCTCCTGCCTCAGCCTCCTGAGTGCTGGGACTCCAGGGGTGTGAAACCATGTCTAGCTCTGAGATTGTTTTTTTCAGTTCTGTGGATTGAACCCAGGGCCTCCTCCCTGAGCTACATCCCAGCCCTTTTTATTTTGAGACAAGATCTCACTAAATTGCCCAGGCAGGACTGGAGCTTGGGATCCTCCTGCCTCCGTCTTGTAGAATGCCGAGACTGACAGAGAGCAGAGGCTCTGAGAAGAGAGATTGCCCAGCTCTCTTGGCCTCAGTAGGCGTGGGCTGGGTTGCCCTCTGTCCAGGCCACGGTGTGTTGGGCTGACCCACCCCCTCTGCCCACCAGCATCGAGGGGGAGTACGTGCCTGTGGAAGGCGACGAGGTGACCTACAAGATGTGCCCCATCCCGCCGAAGAACCAGAAGTTCCAGGCTGTGGAGGTGGTGCTCACCCAGCTGGCCCCACACACCCCCCACGAGACGTGGTCCGGCCAGGTCGTGGGCTCCTAGGCTGGGCGCTGTGCGGGGAGGGCGGGCAGCCCCTGGCGGCCTGGTGTGCACGTCTGTCTGTCTGTCTGTCTGCGCTCATGGCCGTGCGTGTGTGCCTCCACCCACCCGTGCCCTGTGACTGTCCTGCGAGCTGGCCTGAGCTAGCCAGAGGGGAGGCCATCGGCCCCGGCCTGTCCCTGCCCCGCCCCTCCCGCCGCACACACAGGACCCCCTTGTCCTCCTGCCCATGGCCCACACTGGCTCAGTCTCTGCTAGCCTCTGGCTCGGGGGGATTTGGGGGACCCCTCTCAGATGAGCTTGTTCCCCTCTGCTTGTGCTCCTGTGACCCGCCCTGGGCTGAGCCCCCTGCCATGGCCTGCTCCTTCCCCTTGGAAGCCAGGCTGGTGAGCACTCTGGGGGAGCCCCCAGCCTCACGCAGAGGAGGGCCAAACACGGGGGCGCATGGCCCCCCACTGCCGCAGCCCGCCCGTCTTCCTACTCGAGCTCTCAGGGCCCTGGCCAGGCGGGAAAGGGGGGCCTGGGGACGGAGGGGATCCTGTTTGACCTAGCAGGGGCTCTGGGAGCCCCATGCGCGTCCCCTGCGCCCCAGGGCAAGCCGGGGATGCAGCTCCGTAGCCTGGGTGCAGCCATTTCCTCTCCCGGACTCCCAAACCCCACGGGTTCTCCGCCCTGCACTCGGCCACCGGCTGGGGAGGATGCGGCAATGGCCGACACAGCGTCCCCTCAGAGGAGGCCAGACCCAGGCACTGAAGGTCCACCAGGCTGTGCCCGACAGCCTCCCCCGCAGCTGTGGGACGGCGGCTCCCACAGGTCCTGCCGGGCCAGCAGCCCAGGGGTCCTCACCGTGTCCATCCCTGCTGTGTCCCTGTGTGTGGCGGTCCCTTACCTGGAGTTGCCCTGGGCTGCCCTGTCCCTGTGCTCTGCAGGGGCGACCCGGCCTGGGAGGGGCCCTGCCCCTCGTGATCCCTCCCCAGACCTGATGTTGGGGCGTGGGGTCACAGGCTCAAGGGGGGGCCTGCCAGGTCGGTGACCCTTGAGACCCAGTGTACAAGTAAAAGTGGGGGCTCCCACGCCCAGAACGAGGGGGTCAGTGACTGCCTAGGAGGCCTTGGAGCTGCCCCAAGATCCCAGGGTAGAGATCAGCCGGGGCATCTGCACCCCAGCCCAGCACCGCCAGAGGCCGGGCGGTGCCGAGCAGCCCCCATCCCTGGGAAGGGCCAGCCCGCCTGACACCCCACTGGGCTGGACAAGGGCCCCCACCCCCGCAGGGGCCCCGCCCCCGGCCTCCCCCACACGAGCAGCTCCTTTTGTAGGTATCAGGCCAGGGCCACCTAGGCGGCGGGGGCAGCAGTCTCCGCCCCGTTCTCAGCCCCATAGCAGTGGAAGTCATCCCGAGACCCCAGCCACGGACTCCCCACCCTTCCTAACACTGGCAATAAACTCTCAACTGTGACCCATGGCCAGGAGCTGCTTTCTGCCCAGCCTTGGGAGGGGCCGGGAGGATGTGCTGAGCTCGCCCACGCCCGAGGCCTCGATGGATCAAGGACTTCCGGGTGACCGGGAAGGTCCTTGTCCCCATTCCATCACCTGCCGAGGGGTGATCACACCGCACATGATGCAGCAGCAGGAGCTGTTACCCCTCAGACACATCTGACGCCAGGCCTCGTCCTGGGACCTTTAATGCTTGTGACACAGAGTTCTGAGGTTTGCTGGTGCCCGCGCTCTGCACCTCCTCTGCGGGGCAGGCAGGCAGGGTGGCCCGCATCGCACCCTGACACGTCTCCTGCGGGTGTAGACGGGGCCTGCTGTTCTCCGCACTATGAGTAGCAGCGGAGGCCACAGCCGTCAGGGCGGAGGCCGGGACGCTCTGGGGTCAGGAGGCTGGGAGCCAGGCTCGGACAGCAGGGCACCAGACAGGTGTCCCGGGCCGGAGACCACGGTCCCCCACCGCAGCCGATGCCGGCGTCCCTCTGCGGGCCTGGCCAGAGCGCTCTGGATCCCAGCGTCAGGCGTGGGGATGCTCATGCCTCGTGGGCCGTCTCTGGGAAGAAAATCTCTCGGCACCGCTGAACCGTGTCCTGAGGGGAGACCACGCTGTGGCCCACAGTCCGGGGGTCCGCGTAGATCTCAAAGTCATTCCCACCCTGCAGAGGAGGGGCAGAGAAGGCCTGATGCAGGGGGTGCCTGGAGGAGTTTGCTGGGGTTGGGGTCCCCACACTACCTGCTACAGAGCTACCCTTGCACTTGTCCCCAGGAAGCCCTTCATGGTCCTTGTCAGACTTGCTGTGTGACATGGAACAGGTGTCTAGCCCTCTCTGAGCCTTAGCTTTCAAAATGGATTAGGAGGCTGGTAACCCGGAGCCCCTGGCCCAGGGTCCGTTGCCTTGGGTCCCGGCCTTGACCACACGTGTGTAGGCTGAGGAGAGCCGGGCTGGGCCACACTCACCGGGCTCGTCTCGTTTCCGAAGAAGTGGATGGTGTCAAAGCTGTCCTGGTCCAGGCTGTCTAGGCAGTAGCGCTTGTCCCAGCCCTCAGGGAAGACGTCAAAGCTGATCATGCCGCCTGCGGGAGGGAGGGGCTGTGAGCCTCCAGAGAGGGCAGAGCAGGCTGGCAGGGGTGGTGCAGGGTGCGCCCGGGCAAGGCCTGTGCTTCGTTTGCTCCACAAGCCTGAATGTCTGCCTAGTGCAGGCACAGGGCACAGGACAGACTCAGCATCTTCAGGGACAGCAGATCCGCGGACAGAACACGCCGGGTGCATCAGAGCAGTGTGGGTGTGGGGGGCTCATCTGGCCATGGGGGCCAGGGGAGGCCTGAGGAGACACCCAGCTGGGGCCCTGGGCGGAGTAGGGGTGTTTGGAGAACTGGGTGTCCGCAAGGTAAGGCGGGGTAGGCGGCCCAGCAAGTCTCCCAGGCTGGCCGAGTGGGCATGAAGCTCCAGTCGGGGCTCCCAGGGCATCTAGCAAGGGCACCGGCCAGCCCTGCCCCGAAGGGGTGCCCGTGCACTGCGGGGCGGACGTACCTCGGGAGAACCGCAGCCCCTTGCCTGCAAACTCCGTTTTCAGGGCTTCCACGAACTTCTCCCGGATCCGCTCCTTCTGCAGGGGGGAGGCGCAGAGCAAGGCTCAGAGGGTGCCGTGGGGGGCGACCCCACTTCACAGCCGAGGCTCAGCGAACCGTGCCTTGTTCAAGGCTGTCCAGCCGCAGGGGAGGAGCCAGGTCCCTGCCAGCGGGGCGTGGACCGGGGCCTTGCAGGAGGCCTGACAGGAAGGCTGGGGTACTGGGCATCCAGAGTCCGGGTCCCGGTGTCCACCCATGCCCATCCGCCCAGCCAGCCGCAGCTCTGGCACTGGAAATGAGCACGAGGAGGTGGGCAAAAGCCTTAGCGTAAGTGGCAGTGGGGACTCACGGGTCACAGGATGCCGGGCCCGGCCGCGGCCATGGCCACAGCATGTTTGCTGATCGCTTTCCGAGTGCTGGGCTGGGCAGGGGGCACGCTGTAGAGCCTGAGGACCCCTCTGGGCCTCACCCTGCTGGGCCTCGGAGGGAGCAGGTGTCGGGGGCTGGAGGGGCGGTGGGGTGTGCAGAGCAGCCCGACCAGACGTCTTGGCTGCTGGTGAGGGCACGGGAGGGACTTGCGATAACCTGACGAGTTCAGTTCTCAGCTCTGCGACGGTTCGGATTAGACAGGATTAGAGACCGCTCTGGAGGCCGGCGGGACAGAAGTCTGCGGGCCGGATGGGGTGGGGCGGTGGCGGTGGCGTGCCCTAGGTGTTGGCTTGGTGACTAGGTGGCGGGTGGTGCGAGTCACCAGAAAGGGAAACTAGCGGCCCTGGAAAGGGGCAGACGTGCTACGGCAGTGACACGACAGGTCCCAAGAGTACGGGTTCATGCAGAACCCCCCTGGCCCTGTCCGTGTCACTGATGAGAGAACAGGCGCTCAGAGGGGTCAGGGGACTGAAGCGCTATGGGCCTAAGGTCGCACAGATGGCGGCACCTTGTCCAGCTCGGAGAACTCGATCCGCTCCTCCAGGGTGCAGCTGCGGCCGACGGGCGAGATGTTCAGCATGCCGTTCCGGAACTCGATGAAGGTGCCACTGGAAGAGATGGCGGTGTGGAGCCAGGGGGAATGGGAGAGGCTCCCAGTTCAAATCCAGCCCTATCTGGGACCGTGGCCTCCCGGGGCTTCACAGGGGACAAGAATCCCCCCACCAGGACTCAGGGGCCCGGGGCTGGGGCTGTAGCACAGTGCAAGCCTGCTTGCTTAGTGTGCACGAGGCTCTGGGCTCGGTCCCCAGCACTGCCAAAAAAGAAAAAAAATAGAACTCAGGGGCCCAAGTATCTGCAGGCTCCAGCCCAGCGACTTTTGTGGCCTTGGGTCCGGAGCTCACCGCTTCTTGGGTAGCCTGAGCAGGGCCATGTAGCTGAGGCAGAAGTTGATCAGGTCCTGCAGCAGCTCCTCCCCCAGGTGGCTCTGGATGGTCTGAGCAAGGAACACAGGGGCTGCAGTGTGGCGTGGTGTCACTGCCCCGGCCCAAGACAGAAGCCACGCCCTCGGGGACACTGACCTGCTTGGAAAGCAGTCGTCCATGCTTGTACTGCACCGTCCCGTTCTCCGCAAACACGTAATCAAACTTCTCCATCACTTTGGGGCCACAGAGAGGCCAGGGGAGAAAGAAAGAGCCTGAGACCGGGTCCCTCTCTCACCCCAGAAGCAAGCCGTGGGGATAGAGCCTGTGCTCCTTGGGTTGGCGTTCGGAGCCCATTGTTCCCTCCCGAACCTGCTGCTCCAGCCTCTGCTCCTCCTGCAGCTTTGTTTCTTTCCTTGCAAACCAGTTACTGCTCTCCACCTTCACCCAGGCGGGCTCTTCTGCCTGCACCTCCCTTTGGATTTTCCCTCTACCCATCCTACAGGATCCTGCCACTCCTCTGGAGGCCTCTGTCCAGGACTCGCCAGCAGAGGGCGCCGTTTCTGCTGAACTCCCACCGCCACAGACTCCGCAGCTTCTGGCACGCACTTGCCAGGCTGGCTGTAGGGCAGCTTTCAGCTCTGACTGCCAGGAGAAGCAGCCGGAGAGGGTGGAGCCGGGACTCTGCCGCAGGGTCTGGGTGGCCGGGGATCACTGGCACGCACGATGGCGAGGTGGCAGAAATGGGCAGGAGAAGGAGGTATCCGTGACTTAAATGGAATGGACAAGCGGGTGGGAAGAGGGAAAAGCCTAGAAGTTTGTGGTTGGAGGGACTGGAAGCCTCTGCTGCCAAGGAGCTGGACCTGGGAGCTCCAGGGTCGAACCACTTCCCAGGTGACTTGGCTCTTTACTGTCATAAAAGGGGTAACAGCGGCTCACCTGCAGCATGGTCACTGGGTTACAGGAAACCCAGCTACTACCCCTGGTCATTTTGTACAGATCCTAAACAGTACTGATTACGTCCATATTAGAGATGAGGAAAGCAAGACTCCACAGGAAGGAGGAGAATGGAATGGCCGAAGGGCCGGAGTCTGCTTACTTTCTTCGCGGCTGCTTCTCCATTGCTGGCACAGCACCCGCCCTGCAGTAGAAGGTGCTCGCTAACGTGCCCTGACTCAGCGAGGGAACCCTTGGGCTGCTCCTTCTCTACCTCCTCTCTCGTTCTCTCTTTTTATTTTTGAGACAGGCTCTTGCTATTTAGTGCAGCCAGGCCTTGAATTCATTATGTGCCCCATGCTGGGCTCACACTCACAGTGATCCTCCTGCCTCAGCCTCCAGAGTACCAGGATTACAGGTGTGTGCTACCACGCCCAGCTCCTTCTCTACCTCTCCTGTCCCTCTTTAGAGTCCACCCCCACCCCAACGGAACGGACTGCGCCCACTCCTACCTTCATCCCCATCCCCCAGCTGCTCAGCGATCTTGGAGTAGTCAGAGCCGCCCACCACTCCAATCTGCACCTTGCTTCGAAGCTTCTGCAGGAAGGCGGACACCTCGGGGTCAATCTTCTGCAGGAGAGAGGACAGGAGTCTTGCTGTCAGCAAATCTAGGACCCCCACTTAGCGCTCAGAACAGGAAGTCTACCTGGATCTAAGGAGGACAGGTTCAGCATCCCTCATCCCCAAATCAGAAGTGCTCCAAATCTGAAACTTTTCAGAGCTGACACAGTGTGACAAAGGAAAGGGCCAGGGATATAGCTCAGCGGCACAAGTGCCTTCCTGGCAAGAGCAAGGTCAGGTGTTCGATTCCCGGTACCAAAAAACGCCCCCCAAAACAAATGAAAACTACACTTGACTTTCTGCAATGGGTCATCGTCAAAATACAGGTGAATTGAAAACAGCTTATAAAATTGGGCTGAAGCCAGGCATGGTGGCACACGCCTGTAATCCCAGAACTCAGGAGGCTGAGGCAGGAGGACTGCCGAAAGTTCAAGGCCAGCCTGGGCTCCATAGTGAGTTCAAGGCTAGTCTGAACTACATAGTGAGACCCTGTCTCAACCCCTCCCCCTCAAAACAAAATTAGGCTGAAGCCAAAACTCAAGAGTACAGCGCTTACCTAGCATGTATCGGGGCCCTGGGTTTGATCCTCAGGCTCAAAAAAAAAAAAAAAAAAAGTGTAATATTGCCTTCAGGCCATGGAACAAGGTATAATGAAACCTATGTGAGCTGAGTGCAATGGTGCACATCTGTAATCCCAGCATTCTGGGAGGCTAAAGCAGAAAGATCACAAGTGCAAGCCCAGTCTGGGCAATTTAGTAACTCAGTGAGATCTTTTCAAAATTTAAAAATATAAATCCATAAAAGGGTTGGGGATATAGCTGAGTGGAAAGGCCCCGGGTTCAATCCCCAGTAACATAAAAATAAGTAAGTAAATAAACTAGAAAAATGGGCAACATAGTAATAGCCATCCATGGGGTACTATTGAGATTAAATAACAATGATCCAAACTGTTTGAATGAAAAGCAATTAACTAACAATTAATTAAAAGAAAAGAATCCCCACCAATGCAGTGTAAACTAGTAAGATATAATCCAAATGTTCCATACACTCAGACGTACACAGATGACATTATTGAGAGTGGGTGATAAGGTAGGGCAGCAGACACATGATGTTGGTGAGATTGTAAACCGGTACAGCTCTTTTGGAAGGTGATTTGGCATGGTCCACTAAAACTTAAAATGCACACTCCCTGTCACCCAAAGTCTCCACTTTTCTACCCAGGGACCTCTGGAGGGTACTGGGGTGTGTGTACAATAGAGAAAAACAAACAGCAGGCCTGGTGGCGCACGCCTGCAATCCCAGCACTTGGGAGGCTGAGGCAGCTGGATCACCACAAATGCATAGCCAGCCTGGGCTGCCAGGGATACAGCTCAGTGGCACAACGCCTGCCTGGCAAGCGCAAGGTCCTGAGTTCAATTTCTGGTCAAAAATAAATAAATAAATAAAGCCTCACAAAACACTAGCTCTTCCTCCGGGCAAAAGCCTAGTCTAGCCTTCCCTCCTGGCAATAGGGCCCAGATAGAGGTCTGGGAAGAGGCTATGCTAGATAGACAACCACACAACTTTGGGGAGCAGGCCAGGGCTGGGATCTTGATGTGGTCAGAGGAGACTTCAGCCTCTTTTCATTCTTTACAAAAATAATGTGCTTGTGAACCCGTGTATAATTAAAAATTAACTTTTGAAAAGCGCTAAGCACAGACCTGTTGGTGGGCAAATTAACGGGCAGCGCTTGTTCAGGCTGTGTGCCAACACAGACAAGGGCCAGGGAAGCTGTTGGAGGCCCCCACCCTCACTCCGGGTCTGCACCTTCTTTCCGACCTGGGAGGCAGGGTGGCCCATCCTTTCCTGGGGCTGAAGGCTCCGAGACCCTCTTGTCCCCAGCAGAGGGTGACTGGCACGGGGGTGCGCGCCAGCCCGGCCTGGACGCCGGGTTCAGGCGCCAGCTTCGGACTCCTGGTGCATCCTTGGGCTGAAACGGGGCAGGCGCCCCGGCAGGGAAGGCCAGGCGTCCAGGAGCCAGGCCCCGGGTTGGAGGGAAGCGGGGCCAAGACCCGACCCACAGCGCGCCGCCGCCTGCTTGGAGGCGGTAGGTGGGGTGCCGAGGGTCCCCACCACTGCGGGCGGCCGGGTGTCCGCCGTCCAGCTGAGGGGCGCCGGTGCACCGACCTTCTTTCCGATCGTTGGGGCCCTACCTGGCGAGCCGGCGTGAGAGTCCCGTCTACGTCAAACAGGCAAAGGATGCGCTCCTTCCGGCGGGCGCCCTCGGCGGTGACAGCCATGGCTGCAGCTCTGCGCGCCGGGCGGAGTCACGCGGCGGGCGCCCAGGTCGCGCCGGGCAGAGGCAGGAGGGGCCCGCTGGGCAGCGCTGCACGGCGAGGGCGTGGCCAGGAGGGGGAGGATACACGGAGGGGGCGGGGCCTGAGCCCAGCTGAAGGACGATTGGTTGCATCTGGAAGGGGCGTGATACAGGGCAGAGGAGAGCCCTCTGGATTGGGCCCCAAAGCAAATCAGACGGAGGCGGGGCCTGTGCCTGGACCCGGCAGGAAGTGAAGGGTAGAGAGGAGAACCCCGGGCGGGTCAGACTTGACGCTGGGCTGGTAGACTACTAATTGCACCGCGCGGAGTAAGGGTTGGCCGGGGCAGGGCCCCGAAAACCGAAAGGGTTCTAAAGATTTGTACGGCAATCAATCCCTTTGCCCTACAAACCATGAGCTTCAAGAAATCTGATGGCCAAACCGGGCGTGCTGGCGCACGTCTGTAATCCCAGCACTCAGGAGGCTGAGGCAGGAAGATCCTTGCAAATTCGAGACCAGCCTAGGCTACAAAGTGAGTTCAAGGCCAGCCTGAACTGCATAGAGAGACCCTGTCTCAAAAAAGAAAAAAAAAAAAAAAAAAAAAAGAAAGAAAGAAAGAAAAAGAAAAAGAAATGTGATGGCCTTTCGCGGCCTTTCGCAGACCGTGATGATGCACAC